ATGAGAGACCTCCTGGGAAAAACTAAGGTTGCTGCTGGAAGAGGTGTTAGTGGGGCCAGCAGGGGGCGCTCACCCTGCGGTCCATGTGGGTCCTAATGCCTCAGTATAGTGACGGGGACACTATACTGTAAAAAGGCGCCGTCCTTTGGATGAGATTTTAAACTGAGGTCCTGACTCTCTGTGGTCATTAAAAAAAGAGTGTTTCTTGAAAAGAGTAGGGGTGTAACCCTGGTGTCCTGGCCACATTTCCCATTGGCCCTTACCAATCATGGCCTCCTAAGAATCCCCCTCTATGAAATGGCTACATTACTCTGCTCTCCTCCCCACTGATAGCTGTGTGGTGTGGTGAGCGTTCTGGCGCACTATGGCTGCTGTCGCATCATCCAGGTGGATATTGCACGGTGGAGGGGAGTCCCCATTACCTGTAAAGCGCTTTGAGTGGAGTGTCCAGAAAAGCGCTATATAAGTGTAAGAAATTATTATTAAATTGTCCCTGTCTGTGTGTGGGCCAGCAATGGGCTGGCGTCCGATCTGGAGTGTAGTCCTGCCTTATGTTGTTACCAGGTCAATTTCCTGATAATGTCTAGGGTGTAGCTTTGTTATTTTGTGTGTCAATTTAAATGTTATTCAGACCCCTCTGAATCTTTAACAATACATTGGATCTTTGTACAATATTCAGGTCAAAAATATTACTTAATATGTTTTGATGAAGATATTTTCATGCATAGGAATTGTTTTATAAAGTTCAAGTAGGGAGCTGTGTCAGCATGCGTAAGTTGCAAAGGAACAGATAAACGTTTATTCCCTGCTGAAAAGAAAAGAAAAAAGACAATAGTTCAGCTGAGGAACTTCTTCAGGTGTGAGGGAGAGAGGGAAACTAGCACTGGAGAAATTCTCTACTCATTTGCAGATCCACACCTGTCCTCCCCTGCTCCCCACCCCTTCTTACCCACTCTGTCTTCTATGATTTATTTATCTGCTAGTTTCCCACTCTCCCCCACCCTAAGGAGGCTCCACAGCCTGAGCCTGTGCTTCTTTTCCTTTCAGTGTTGAATAAACCTTTACCTGTTTCTTGTTTTCTGTTTCACAGTGGAGATAGAGATCTATTTATTTATCCATTTATTTACTGTATAATAAATAAAAAAGGTAATAAATACAACATTTATTTACTGTTTGTAAATTTATTGTTCTGTTGTAAATAAATAAAGATACTGTATTTCTATTGTAAATAGATACATATTTAAATTAATATAAATATGTACACATATTGTTGTTGTGATTTAATGCACTTCATGTGATCTTATGTGTCTTTTATGTTTTGCTTGTGTGTTTTGTACTTTTATGGGAAAAGCCAAAGACAAATTTGCACAGTAGTGGAGTATAGTATAAATAAACTAAAGAATTTATCGACATACAGTACACACACTACAAACTACAACTCCCAGTATCCCCCACAGCCTTCTGAAACCCATGCGCCGTTTCCGTCTCCCGGCCTAGCACGTTGCGTGTGTGTGTGTGTACAGACTATAGAATTGAGCGTTTGGGTTGCTGTTCTGGTGTTCGTGTTGGATTTGAACACTGTACTATCGCACCGGGGGTTTATTTCTCGCTGTTCTTTAAAAGCAAGTGTCGAAGCCATGGCGGCCGAGCCGGTAGCAGCGATGTGCGAGCAGCTAATTAAAGCGGTGAATGTGATGATGGACGCGGACTCCAGCCAACGGTACCGCCTGGAGGCCCTGAAGGTAATTTTTTGGGATGGGATCGTGTGTTGCATGTCTGCAGGTTCATATGAATGCACATTTCGGGCGCTCCGCGGAGACTGCTGAAGAGGGGTGCCCACATTGTTTAATTTTAATAAAACTGCCGGAGGAACACGGCTGGGGGTGGCGCTGTTTCTTTATTTTTGCTCTTGAACGAATAATGTGAATTTGTTCACAAAGAATTAGGCACACTAGTCTTGTAATTTGTGAAAAGTGAGCCCGTGGTCGCGTCTTTCATTGTGTTGTGTCAAAGGCAGACCGTGTTCCTGTGTCCTGTGTGTGGGTATTATTTGGAAAGGCTGAGGCAAACTTTATACCGTCCTCTGACATCGCTCCGTCGTGTAGCCACACACACCTGCGGCGAGGAAAGTCGCAGCGACTCGCCGAAAGCAGAATGTCTGTAGAATTTAACTACTACATCAGATACAGAGGCGACCGATAAAAACCTTGGAGTTCTTCTGTGCATTTCTGCGAAAAGACATGCATGCTTTGTCCTGCGGGAGTTGTTACCTATCTTTAAGTTTAGGGATACGGGGCAGCCCTTGTGTGCTCATTCATCCATCCATTTCGTGCAGCCTTTCATCCCCAAGCGATGTCTGTGTAGGAAGGAGTGTGCAGCCTATCGTACGAGTGGTCGATCGGGAGAGGAGAGAGAAATTCTCGGCAGTTGGATTAAGGGGGAGCTCTAGGGCGGCCGGGTTGAGTTTAATCAGGACGCCAGAATGAACACACTTGCCCTTTACTAAAGGCCCATCAGACGACTGTTAACTAAGCAGTCAGCACCTTGGTTTACATGTAATCTAAAAGACCGAACCTCCTACAGTTCGGTGTCCTCAGTCACCCTACTGGGGCATTGGTGTGGAAATTCTGGTCAGGACGGAAGAGCACTCCCTACTGGTCCACCAGCACTACTTACCGCAGTGACCTGCTTTTCCTAAGAGTGTTGGATCTCAACCCTAGTCCTGGAGTATTGCTGTTTTGTTTCACAGAGCTCTTAATCGCTAATTGACCCCCTTGTTTGTTCTTAGTGAGATTTTTTGTTTCATTTGTTTAACATGCACAGTTTCGTTTCAGAAATATTGCTGCAGGTGTTTTTTTAAAAAAAGTTTTAACAAGGTGAACATTGTGCATTCTCTCCTCCTTATTACATGGTAGCAGCATTAATTCTGCCTACACAGCTCCACATGCTGTACTAGAATCCCACTGATTAGAGTTCCTGAGTTCTGCAGAGGTTAGCCCTGAATGTGTGGGATATAAGAGAATTCTTACAATGCACAGGTTAGTTAAAGGTTGATACCAACGCCACATGTTGACACCATACAGCGTTTTGAGAATTTTAGCAGTTAACTGAAGATAAGTTGACCTCAGAGGTTAAGGGCTCAGTTTGAACTAAGTCCTGACAAGACTGGGACTGCTTCAGGATCAAGGCCAAGATCCTTAGAAACTGTCCATCTTGGTACTGGTCAGTCCCAGCCTTGTTCAGCTCCAGAGAGCTGACATAGTCAGGCTTACTAGGTGGCCACACAGCTGTCTGAACCCAACCAAGAGTAGTTCCAGCTGCTTTGTTTTCAGAACGTGGAGAACTGTATTTGACTGTGTCACTAAATAGACAAATGCTTTATAGTTGTATACACTGTCTCCCCTTGCCTCCTTCCTCAGTTTTGCGAAGAGTTCAAGGAGAAGTGCCCCTTCTGTGTGCCCTGCGGGCTGAAGCTGTCAGAGAAGTCCCAGCCTGCGCTGGTGAGGCACTTCGGCCTGCAGATCCTGGAGCATGTCATCAAGTAAGACTCACTCTTCCTCCTCCTCTTCCACAGCAGCAGAGTGACTGAGGGCAAGGAACTGCGCTCAATCACTGCATCTGCTGACTAATCTTAAAAAGTTTTGAAATAAAGGTAAAAAACATGCATTTTAGATAAGAAATTGTCTTGGCACAAACAGGATTTCTACTCATGTGCTCTAACAAAATCCTAAGGGAGTAGTTAAGGTGGCTGTGCTTTAACTGAGGGTGGTGAGTATAATGTACTGTCGTTGCGTGAGCACAGTGTTGGAATGGATAATGCAGCCTGTGGATGTCCCTTGTTTTTCATACCTCAGGTTTCGCTGGAACAGTATGCAACAGCGAGAGAAGATCTATCTGAAAAACTGCACCATGGGATTGCTTTCCACTGTGAGTTACCCGTTATAGATCTGAACGTTGAACTCAGCTGAGCTCTTGTGTCTGGTACGGTTACAATACCGTTAAATCAACATCTTTAAAACAGAGATCAGAGTTTTCTCTGTATGATGCATGAAAGTAAAAAAACAGGAGCATAGGGAAGAAGGAAAGTAGGTATATGGTTTTCTGATCCTTTGTGCTCATCTGCCTCAGTTGGTTTAAATTTTATTGTGGGATGTCTTGTTCCCAAATGACAGGGCACATACCCCATCTTGGAAGAGGAGAGCCACATCAAGGACGCCCTGTCGCGTATTGTGGTGGAAATGATCAAGAGAGAGTGGCCCCAGCATTGGCCTGACATGCTGAAGGAGCTGGAGGCGCTCACCAAGCAGGGGGTAGGCTCAGACGTTCACCTTCCCTGTGTGGAGCTGGGGTGGGGTCGGACAGAGGGCTCGTGAGCAGCTCAAGCTGCAGAGAAGCGCCCTGTTGTCCAGTTGTTCTCCTCTCAGGCTTTTAATCTGTCACTCGGACGCCTCCTGTCTGCGCAGTGGCAGCCCCTGTGATGGGATCTGACTCATCTGTAGCCTCTGCGGGAGCTGCACTCTGAGCACGAGCAGCTGTGTCACTTCCTGGGCTGTGGCCAGGGCCGGGTTAGCCCACTGATCGCAAGTGGCAGCTGGCAGTGTCTCATCCGGGGAAGCAGGGCTCGAAGAAGTGCCATATCAGGACACGTACCAGAGTGAGAACAGCTCTCGCAGATATGAGGAAGCTGGCCAAGGGAATGCAAACTGCTGTTTGGTCAAGGCTTCTCGTCTGAACCTGTGAATCCTGTAGGCCTGTGCCCCTGATGTTTAGGGCGCACTGTGAGCTATGCTCCTGTGCCCGTGATGCCCCTGGCGCCTGACCCGACAGTGCGTCTCGCTCTGTTCCCTCCCAGGAGGCCCAGACGGAGCTGGTGATGCTGATCCTGCTGCGGCTGGCGGAGGACGTGGTGACATTCCAGACCCTGCCCACGCAGCGCCGCAGGGACATCCAGCACACCCTGACCCAGAGCATGGACAGCATCTTCTCCTTCCTGCTCTCCATCCTGCAGCTCAACGTCAACAAGTACCGCAAGCTGGTGAGCCCTCGCCGTGCCAGGGCAGCAGAGTCAGAGTGGCCTTGCGACTGGCATCTCATGTAAATTCTCCTATTCGCTCCTGTCTAGAGTGACCAGAATGTGTCCAGGCAGGCCTGTGGCTTTAGATTAACTAAGTGCTGGTGAGCTGGCCTGTCGAGAGAAGAGACTGAGCGCTAATACTTAAACTCGTTTCCTGAGCTTGAACTGGGTGATTTCCCCCCCCAGCCTGCGGCCCAGCTTTCAGCTGCTTCTTTAGCTGAGTCTGGGATGAAAAATTTGATGTCCTGCGTGTGCTTTCTCACTCCTGTCTCCATTGGTTTCCGAGTTATTTTGTGCACAGGTGTGCTGCAGACTCCTGCCCTGCCAGGTGGTCAGTGTCGCTGTTATTGTCAGCTGCAGTTGGGGGTGTTTTGCTCATGGCATCCAGTTTCCAAGTCTGGGAGAGACAGCCTAGATATTATAGTTGAAATAATTAATTTCTTCCATGTGAGTGTTTTATAATTCATCCTGAATGTGGCTGATGCTTAGAAGGTTAATCTAGTTTCTGAAATTTACAGTGAAGGGGCATCTCACAGACTGTAGCTGTAACAGATGATGTCCCCTGTCATCAGTCTCCTGGGGTTTGCTATTCAGTCGTCCTGTTGTTGTGCTGTGTGTCTGCTGGCACCAGTGATGTAGAGCTCCAGTCCAGTCTTCAGCTGCTGATGCTCTAAGGTGACCTATCCTGCTGGATTCTGGCACTTGAGAACTAGATTAGGGCACCAGTGTGCAGAAGCTGAGAAACCTATTACTTTACCTCTTACCTTTATCTCAGGTGACTTACAAAGTTAGCACTTCAAACCGGGAAACAGTGTTGTAACACTGTTAAAATGTGAAGTAAGTTGCTCTTTTCATCTTCTATTTAAAAAGCTTATCTCCGTTTTCAGACCCACTGTGATGAGACTGTTTGACTCTCACCTCGATTGGTCAAAAGCCTGTTGTTATATGTTCAGCATTTTCTGATGTTTCTGTTATTGGTTAGCAACTTATTCGCTTGATCAGCTTCTCCAGAGCACTGAGGGGGCCACTGGAGCTGTCGGGCTCAGTTGTTCTGTCTCATGCAGTCCACCATCCACACTTGTTTAATGGCAAATAAACAGTGCTTGTCCGTTTGAAAGAAAGTTTTCATGTCAATATTTATTTTTCAGAAGCTGGATCCCACCCAAGAGCTGAAGGTAAGCTCTAATTGCTTCAGTCACTACGATATTGTGCAGAACATGTGAAATCAGATATCTTGTGAGTACTTTGTCCTTTGACCAAAATGTAATCCGAACTTCGAACGCTTGACAGTTGTGTGGCAGCCTGCCTGTGGTCTTTCACAGTGTCATTGGAGTAGTTATTGAGGTTTCTGTTTAAATACTAACATTATGATTTGAAAATGGTCCTGTGTAACAGACTCTGCCCTCTATCCTAAAAGATTTTAGATCCCACTGAGTGCTGCAGGTAACTATTAATCCCCTGTGAATAAAGACCTGGAGACAGTGGTCTTTCAGACCACTTTGCATTGAATTCAGACCAGTGAAGCGAGCAGCTTATTAAAGATGCTCAGTCCAGAGGGCAGTGAAAGACATGAGCAGGAGTGAATATCGGTGTCCTGTGATGTGATAAGACAGGAGGCACCTGTTGTCGTCTGTACTGTAGAGTGTGTGACCAGACCACACACAGGCAGTGATGGAGATCCTCTAGGAGCAGAGTCTGAAAGAGGGAGAAGTTTATTGGCCATATGTGCATGTACGTTGGGATTAGTATTCACACTGTACTCTCTGGACTTGCACAGTACAACGGACTGCACTTTCACACAATGTGCTCAGTACTTTACAAGACGGTAGATAATAAAATGTAATGACTGGACTACAACACATACAACAGGTAGTACAAGTCAGGTAGAGAGTGCAGAGTACAGAGGTGCATTCCGTAGTTAGCACTTGAGGTCCCAGCCCGTCTGTCCTCCCAGGCCAAGGCGCACTGCCGTGTGGGAGTGGCCACTCTGAACACCCTGGCGGGCTACATCGACTGGGTGTCCCTCGTCCACATCACCCACGACAACTGCCGGCTGCTGGAGATGCTGTGCCTGCTGCTGTCCGAGCCGGAGCTGCAGGTGGAGGCCGCGGAGTGCCTGCTCATCGCCGTCAGCCGGAAGGTGAGCAGGCTCCCCAGACACCTAGAGCTCAAGGTGCAGTGCCCAGGGCCACGGATACGATTATTGATCTGAGTGATCTCAAAAGGAAAGCTGGGAACAAACCAGAGGAAACACATTAAAGCCTGTTATAAAATTAGCATATGCACAAGAACTTTCAGAATTGGGAAATTCTGAGAAGTTGCCTCAGAGAGGCTGGATTTGGGATTAGAGCTCTTGTTAGAGCCGTAAAGGCACAAATGTGTGTTGGGTGTATCTTTGCTCTGAATCATTTCTGGGTTACTGGTAGTAAAAGATGTGAATTGTGCCACTGTGGTTTTTACACACTGAGACATGGGTCTCCTTTCTCCATGACCCTGTGGAGTGGAAACTGCAGGCAGGTTCAGCTCCATCTAAGAGCTCAAATAAAAGCATGATTTCTAGCTGAGGCAGGCCTGAGTGTTGTCCTGTGTTTGTCTCACTAGGGGAAGCTGGAAGACAGGAAGCCCCTGATGGTCCTCTTTGACGACGTGGCGATACACTACTTCCTGTCTGCTGCACAGTAAGGGCTGGGGCGTACCTGTCTGGGCCCATTCGGGCAGCGCACAGTGCACGCTCTCATCTCGTGTTGACACAGCGTGGGGTGGAACGAGCTGCGCTGAAAGATTCTGGCTGCGTTGAAAGCAATTACATTAAGACAGATTATCAGTGATCTAAATTTATTTTTACATTTTTTTGGACACTTGACAAATACCTTGTATCCATTGAAGTCAGTGGATCTTGCATTGTGCTGGACGCTGTGCCAAAAGGCCAGAGTCCGCCAGGATTGGTGTGTTGAAATGGCCGATAACTAAGGATGTGGAAAGCGTAAAATGTGATCGTTTAGTCAAAGAAATTGAACCAGTCAAGTGTGCAAGAGCTCTCATTTGTGGAATAATGGACCTTTTAGAGACATGAGGTGTGTCTGTGGTTGAGTGCTGCAGATTGAGTTGTGGGGGTTCCTGTGCTGATACCTCTGGTCTCGCTGTGTGTCAGGACCGCCGATGGGGAGGGGCTGCTGGAGAGGCACTACGTCTTCCTGAAGAGGCTGTGCCAGGTGCTGTGTGCTCTGGGCAGCCAGCTGTGTTCCCTGGTGGTAAGTGAACTGCCAGCACGCTGGTCCCTGTTGCTGTGTGAGCCAGGGAGTCGTCCTCCTTCCTCCTCCTCTGGAGGCAGGCAGCGTCTCCTCCGGCTCGGGAATCACATGAATCCGCTTCACAGAAGGTGTAGAGAGCTTGTCCGTGACCGCTGTGGGCAGCAGGAGTGGGGAGCACTGTGTATCGCAGAGATAAATGTCAAAAACCATTACATTTACCAAGACACCTTGGGCTCTTTTGTGAACAAATATAAAGATCTTGCCTTTATTTTTAATGGGTTGTTAAAACTATTTTACTGGCTTTGAAGGGCTTTCATATGATATGTGTGGCTTGTGTGGTTGCTGATCAGAACTTCAAAGCCCTACTTATACTCAGGTTTTAACAGCACAGTTAGAAAGGAGAAAGTCACAGCCCCCAGGTACAAATCACTGCAAAACCGCAAGGCCTCAGCAGTGCGTTTGAACAGCATTCTAGGTCCCTGAACAGTACTGTAGGCCTTTGACTGTCGGCTCTGCAGATTGGTGATAGACGTTTCTTTCCTGTTAAGGGCTCTGATGTCAAGGTGGATGTCCCTGCCAATTTGGGAAAGTACATGGAAGCGTTCCTCGCCTTCACAACTCACCCCAGCCAGGTACGACTGCAGCCGCCATGAGGTGACAGAGGAGGAAGAGCCTTGTACCCCCAGTCTCTGTCAGCTCCTCCCTGCTCATCTCCTGGAGTTTCTCCCTGGCAGCAAAGCATAGCTGTCAGGGTGAACGTGGGGAAACAGACCCTGAGACATGGTATACAATAGAATGAACGCCAAGAATGTTTCAAGAGATTTAAAAATCCTAACAGTCTTGGTGCAGCTACTTCCCTGTCTCCGGGACAGTCCTGCGCTAAACAGTAGCAGGTCAGGTAACTAACAGAGGGAAGTCTCATCTTGGAATGCACATGAGCTCAGACCCACTAAAGAAAGGCTGTGTGCTCTAGTCAGGTCCTTGAGATGTCATGCAGCCAGGCTGCTTAGAGCCCTGATACTCAACAGCAAGGGCTTACTGTCGGCCTGGGATCTAACAGGGACCCTCTGTGGAGTCATGAGTTTAGCACTTGTTTGGATCAAGTATTCCTGAGACACGGGTTCGAGCCAGGGTCCAGGGAAGGCTGCTGCATCAGATTTCTGCTGTCTTATTTGCCTTATATTTGTCTTATATGTCCAAAGGGTTGGGCAACAAGTTGACCTTGGACGCCTAGAGGTTTTTTCTCTCCTTATTAAGGAGTTTTTGGTTCCACCCCACCGTTGTCTTCTGGTTTTCTGTTCTGTATTGACAAAATGTATCGTCAATTGTATTGTTAAGCGCCTTGGGGCAACCTTGTTGCGAAAGGCTCTATATAAAAATGAATTGAATTATTTCTGCCCACAGTTTTTAAGGTCTTCCACCCAGGTCACATGGGGCTCCTTCTTCAGACACGAGGTCTTGTCGAAGGAACCTGTCATCATAGAAATGACCAGCAAGTACATGAGGGCCACCATGACCAACTTTGTGAAGGTAAGGAGCTCTGGATACCTCGTGCTCCTCAAGGCTCTTGGAAATAAGGGAAGGCCGAACTCTGTTTTCCTCTGAGTCTTCTAAACCCAGGACTGGAGGGACCTCTAGTTGTATTCCGTATGTTCTGGAAATCCATTGCATGGTTTAGCAGTGTTTAAAGCAAGTTGAGTTGGATAGTGTTAAGAGGTTTTTATACCTCCTCACATCGCACTGCCTGTCCAAGCTCCTGGATTCTCTCCTCTTCCTTCCAGACTGGCTTCCCTTCAAAAAGTGACAGCCCGAGCTGCGAGTACTCCCGCATGGACTTTGACAGCGACGAAGACTTCAATTCCTTTTTTAACTGTGAGTTCCTCTGCTTGCGCTCTTGCTTGGAATGTGTTTATACATAAAGCAGAGGAAAGTCTGGGGTGTCAGACTGCTGTGATTGGCTTGTTTTTGCGCTATCTACCACTGCTTCCGGTTCATGTGTCCATGTATCTTCTTCGTGCCGGGAGTGTCCGGTAGCGCGTGTTTAAAGTGGTGGGTTTAAGAGAGAGGTTCGAGCCCATGTGTTTGTTGTGTGCAGCTTTCCGGGCTCAGCAAGGTGAGGTGGTGCGGAACGCCTGCAGGATCATCCCCCTGGAGGCCTTCCAGATCGCTGGAGAGTGGCTCCAGTACCAGATCAACACGCCCATCGACATCGGCACCACCATGTGTAAGCTGCACCGCCATTGCCCCCACTGACCTGGACAGATATTAAACTGAGCAACAGAAAGCCCTTTAAAAATCAGGTAGTGTGGTCCAAATGTACAATTTACAGTCCTGTAAATTCAGTGCAATCAACAATCTAGCATAGGGACTGCAGCAGGACAGCGGACAGCAGCTGCCGCTTTCTGAGTAACAGCTCATAGTGATCAGTTAATAATAATAATAAAAATAATAATAATAATAATTGCTTACACTTATATAGCGCTTTTCTGGACACTCCACTCAAAGCACTTTACAGGTAATGGGGACTCCTCTCCAACACCACCAGTGTGCAGCCCCACCTGGATGATGCGACGGCAGCCATAGTGCGCCAGAACGCTCACCACACACCAGCTATCAATGGGGAGGAGAGCAGTGTAATGTAGCCAATTCATAGCCAATTCATTAATGATGAACAGACACAGGGTGGAATATCTCTGTATCGGACACGCCCACAATGAGCATTTATCCTTCTTCACGGGTCCATTTGCTGACTTTTTGGGAAACACCTGAGTACTTCTGCACCTAATATTTATGCAGGGTTGATGCCAATCGCAAATCCCATTTGATTTTTAGGAGCAGGAAGAAAATTCACATGGACAGATACTTGTGAATTTTCAGGCATTCAGGACAGCACGTGTGTCCTTATTGAGGAGTTAATAAATACCAGACAGGGAGGCCTTCAGTCTGGAGTTTAATTGCTGGAGTGATACAGAGAGGAGGGAAGTATCAAAGTATTGTCAGGGAACACTGGGGCAGAACAGAGGGGAAGTTAAACATCAAGATTCTTTGAACAGCCGAGCCATCATTGAAATGGACAAGACTCTCTTGTGTTAGTTTTTATTTCTGCTGCCAACCCTTGCGAACATAGCAGCAGAGCTCAACAATAAGAATTTGTTACTCTCTTGGCATTTGTATTTAAATTGCTGTCATATTCCCTGTTTTAACTTAACCTTTTAAGTATTATTGATTTTCAGGGGTAGAGGATATACTGGAATGTGCAGCTCAGAATGTGCATTACGTACCAGCAATATTGAATTAACAGCAGAATTGAGAGCTTTTCAGAGCTCTTTTAGGTCAGGTCACAGAAGGGCACAGGGTGTTTGTAACAGTGCAAACAAAAGCTAAATGATCAGTATTGACGCATGTCATATTTGTAAGCATTTGTACAGTATGTAAAAGCTTACAGGAAGCTTGGCCACAATCCCTAGTAGGGCTGTGGCTTCACAGACAGACCAGTGTGTTGAAACGCTGTCCGTTTCTCCTCCTGTTCCCTCCCCAGCAAAGACGGGTGAGGGCTTGTGCTCCATATTCTCCCCCTCGGTGGTGCAGTGGGATGCCATGACCTTCTTCACGGAGAGCGTGGTGGGGCAGCTCTTCAAGAACGTGGAGGAGGAGGTGGGCATTCAGGGCCGTGATGAGTCCGAACAGAGGCTGCCTGGTGTTTCAGCCATGCCTGGCTCAATATTCTCTCAGATCTTAATCTCGGCCAAGTGTAAGACACCACTGCCGGTCAAAGATGCAGGACTGGCGCGAGTGGTATTAGAGGATCCTGTCATTTTTAGTTACATTTCAGACCAGCAGTGTGACTGTCAGTAGATTACAGTGTTTCCATTCTTGTCCTTATCTCTAGGACAGTGAGCCTCAGCAGTTCAGCATCGTATGGACTTGATGCCACTTTGAGCTCTTTAATGCCTTTGTTGATTTGATCAAGATCTTAATTGTCCCAGTTAACCATGGTTTCCAGGTCTTCGGCCTTGGATATGTTGAGGTACCTTTAGACCACAGGCTGGGCCTCTACAGGAGCAGCAGTGACAGGCGCTCGAGGATCCAGCCTTGTGTGGGCTCCTCAGTCTGTCCTGCTGCAGCTGTAATCTGAGGTGTGAACTTTGCTCTAGGGCTTTGTGCAGCCTCACCACTTTGAACTGCATTGGTTTATACATTATCCCTCCAAACATATTGGGACTTTAAAGCAGTGTAGACTTTGCTTATGTTTCCAATACCTACAGTCACTGAAGATCTCCGGATGAAAACAAAAGAATGAGTTTGTTTTAATGTAATCGAATGTATGCATTTTAATTAATGCCAACATATGCAGAGATGAATAAAACATGTATTGTTTCTAATATTCATATTCATGTTAATCCTTACAGCATAGTGACTGTTGTTGTTCCTCTCTCCCAGAAACTCCCCATTGATCAGGGCATCGAGCTGCTGCAGGCTGTGCTGAACTACGAGACCAGGGATCCTCTCATCCTGTCTTG